ACAATCCGAAAGGCATTACATTAAACTGGTATAGTCCGCTTCCGGTACTGAAGGCAGTTTTCTCTTTGTCATCGTCATGTATTGCCACTTGCCAGTATCCACTTTTGAGATCCAAGGTGAAAAACCATTTGGAGCCCGATAGAAATGTTAATCTATTGTCTATTCTTGGGAGAGGGAAGCTGTCCTTCTTGGTGACATCGTTGAGCTTTCGGTAGTCCACACAAAATCTAAGACTCCCATCTTTCTTTGTAACCAAAACTACTGGCGCAGACCATGGACTATTTGACTCTTCAATGATTCCCTCTTGAAGCATTTTATCAATTTGGTTTTCCACTTCCTGTTGCTTAGCTACTGGCATACGTCGTGGTGGTTGTCTAATTGAATGTGCCAATCCAGTATCAATTTTGTGTTGAATTAAGCTGGTTCGTCCGGTTTGATTGTCCATCACAAATATGTCCGCTTCTTTCAAGATGAAATCTGTGGCTTCTTGAAGTCTATCTGGATCGAGATGTTTCCATGATTTTGCGAAAGTCTGCATCAAGGTGTCTGTATCCAATTTGGATCTCACAGAATGTCGCTTATCTGGAAGGTCACAGTTCGATATTTGCTTAACTGGTTCGAGAGTTCCAATAATGTCTCCTTCTTTTATTCTTACTGTTTCGGAAGAAACATTGGCAATTCTTATCATAATGTCCCCATTTGTTCTTACTAGAGTCTTCCCAACAAGAAATCTTTCTGGTTTATCTCCAATAAAATTACGTGTTAGTCCAACGCAGCACCCAGGGTTTGTTTCTAATCTTCCACAAATGATCTTCTCAGTACTTCCAGGAATCCTCACTGGGGTTGTGGCCAAGATCTTAACGGCATCGGATTCTTCTTGTGTTGTTAGGACAATTTCTTCATTAACAAATTTAAGGATTTTCATGGAAGGATCAAAAGAGAAACCATGTTGGCCGATCAAAAGAGAAACCATGTTGGCCGATCAAATCCATTCCCAAAATGAAATCATCTTCTATATCGGCGACTAGGATTCTGGGCCTGCAGGTGGTAGATCCAAAAGTAAGCTCAATTATAGCTTCTCCTTGAACTGGTGCAGATTCGCCGGTGACTGTTCGTAGTGACAGGTTTCTAGTGAGCGGTTGGATTGCTCGAGACTTGACTAATGTTCTTCTAATTATGGAAACTTCAGCACCCGTATCAAAAGTGATGGTTTTTAATTCTCCATTAATTTGTCCTTCGAATTTCAATCCTCTGTAATGACTGCCCAATGATTTTATGTAATCAATCGGGGGCTACATCATTACTAACCAGCATTCGCCCCTCCATACTGGTTAGTTCTCGTTTCCCTGTCTGTTATTAGGGCTGGCGTCTCTCGATCTCGAAAAGCGTTGGAAACGATCCCTTGATGGAGAGGACATCCTTACTCTACAATCTCGTTTAATATGCCCAAGCTTATGGCACCGGTAGCACTCTATTCGGTTTCTCGGGGTTGGTGTTTGTCTGGAATCGTTTCCCATTTTTCTATCTTCTTGTAACAGTTTCTCTATTCTCTCCATGAAATTACTCATTCTAGTCTCGAAGCTACCATCCTCTTTTGACAACTATTCATCTTTTGGGTCTTCAAACGACTGCTCGTATTCTGGGTCGTGAGGCACCAAATATTGCTTCCAGTTCTAAAGCTCGGACAAGGGCTTCGCTACTTTGTCTGAACTTAGACATTCTTAGGTTTTCCTGAATCTTGGAATCTCTGATACCATCAATGAGCGCAGATACTGCCATCCATTCTTGCATGTCTTCCCCAGCTGCAGGAAACGCCAAACTCACTAGCCTTTTTACTTCTGATTCAAATTCTTGTAAACTCTCGCCGGGTTTTTGAATTCTTGATTTGACTTGAGTTCTAAATACTTCTTGCCTGTAATGATCTCCGAAGCGCAATTCCAACGTCTGACTTAGATGCTGGTAATTCTGTTGGTAAACTGAAGGAATGGACTGAAGAAGGTCTAAGGCAGGTCCTCGTAGCGCCACTATTAGTGCTGTAGCTTTTTCTTGGTCGTTCCATCCATTGGTGTTTCCAGCAGCTTCAAATTGTCGAATATACATGGTCCAGGATGTAGAACCGTCAAAAGTTGGTGGTTTTATCTTCATACCGGAGAATGCTCCAACACTAACTGGATTGATGGACTGTATTTCTAATTTACGCACCTTATCTTCGAGTGCTTGAACTTGGTCCTCCACTTCTTGTCTTAATTGCTGAACATCGTCTTTAACTTCTTGAACATTGTCTTTAACTTCTTGAACATCGGTTTTGACTTCAGCTTTTACTTCCTGAACGTCGTGTTTAACTTCTTGCACATCGTCTTTAACTTGTTCAATCTTCTGGTCTAGGTTAGCGACAGTTCCTTGTATGGTTTGGAATATTTTCTGCAGTCTTCCAAGGTCCTCCTGCCGTTCTTGTTGTCGCTTAGCTTCTTCTTGTTGTCGCCTAGCTTCTTCTTGTTGTCGCCTAGCTTCTTCTTCTTGTTTTTCTTTTTGTCGTCTGGCCTCTTCTTGTTGTCGTCTAGCTTCTTCTTCTTCTTGTTTTTCTGGTTGTCGTCTGGCTTCTTCGTCCTGTTTTTCTTGTTATCGTCTGGCTTCTTCGTCTTGTTTTTCTTGTTGTCGTCTGGTCTCTTGAAGTTCCAACATTTTGCGCAACTTTTTGTTCGTCCATTTTTGCTTGTTGTCTTGTGATAGGCATATACAGAACGTTCTAGAATTTCCCTCGAACTTTCTTCAAATATCTTTTCTGGTCTTTCCTCGAAGTTCCAAACACGCCGGTGAAGTCACAAATTGGATAACTTGCTTTATTCTAGAATAGAATGTTCTGGAATTTTCTTGAAACTTCTTTTCTAGATGTCGATTGATACAGCAAACACGTCGGTGAAGTCACAATTTCGATATCTCCCTTGGGTTCCAAATAGAATGTTCTAGAATTTTCCCGAAATTCCTCGAAAAACCTCTTCTGAATGATGATTGATGTTCCGAATACGTTGGCGAAGTCACAAATTCGATATCTCCCTTAGTTTCCAAATAGAATTTTCTAGAACTCATTCGAAGATTCACTATCAGTCTAAAGTCACTTCCGGGGTAATTCACACGATCGGTTAAGTCTCTTTTTGTGATTGTCACTGTTTGCACTGCACTAACTGTCCCAGTGTTCAGTTTTTACAATACAATCGTGCCCGCACTTCCGCAATTGGATTTCACTCTGCAGTCCTTTATATCCGACTTCTGGCACCAATGTCACGGCTTTGGGTTGCCTGACAGAAATCTTGGGTTCGTTGTTCGTTTCGTTTATTCCAAAAATCAAAGTCCAATTAACACAGCAATAATTTATTCCACTTAACAATACACTCTGACACTAATTACTTCAATAACTGACTCAACAATTAAACTCTTTATAATCACTATTTAAATCGTATCACAGTCAAACTGAAACTTAAACTACAAAGCAATAGCGGTCTTTTATATATCCCTAAATCTATTCCTGTGAAATCTAGAATACACACGATAATCTTATTTTCCCGAATTAAGTAGAATAATTCGCTAGATTCCAGTATACTCGACATCGATTCTTGACAGCCTGGCGGACGCCTATTCTAGCAACAGCAACAGCGTTTAGCATTATTGTAACAGTATTAAATCATTGGATTCGCTATAAAATACTGCATTCAGTAATGTTATAAAAGTCATGTTTCTAGTCCAGTTTTTGAGCTAGGACAAAAAAACTAAAATAATGAAGTTTACAGCCCTCTATCAATAAAGTTTACAAAGATAAATTGTATTTTTCTGAATGTAAGTAAAATATGTAGAGTCATTTTGGGATGATTATGACACTCTATTTAAAAAATTAAAATTTAATTTAAAAACAAAATTTTGTACCGAATTCGATTTAAAAGTGGTGCATTAGGACGTAAAACGATCTGTAGAATCCGAAAAACAAAAAATATACAGGGTGCGCTATTTAAAAATCACAAGTTTTGGTCATTTCCGGTGAAACCGGAAGTCAGGAAAACTTGTCATAGATGCATAAAAATGGCGTTTGGTTAGAATATCAACCCTACCAAAGGCGTTTTCTCGCGTCTCATATGTTTCAAAACTGGTTTAATTATTGTCACCATGACGTCATAATTTCTCGGCGCGAGAAAATGGTTTGAAAACGTGGATTGGATTGTATTTCGAAAGGGTTTGAACCAATTTTGACTTGATGTCATAGGTTTATCGCGGGAATGTACTGTTTTAAAAGAGTTTGAACCAGTTTCAAAAAAGTGGACGCGAGAAAATGCCTCAAGTTTCGTTCATATTGATATACAAATACAAAAATGGCAGCGGGAAAGTAATCTCGTGGGCACCCTGTATACTTCACAAATACAAGCTTATATTAAATTTTCAGCTTTCATGAAACTCTTGCATATTTTTGGCGCTGGCTTTTGGACTATAGAAACATACTTAAAATATGGTCTCTAAAGAAGCAAAATAAAGAAGTATTTTAGCATTAATACATGTTTAGTTTATAAAATATCTGTGTTCATACAAAGCAAAACATAGAGGAATAAAGAAATAATAAAAATGAAAATTTGTTTTACTAAACAAACTACAATATTTTTTAATGGATCTGTACCTACATGTGCCAGACTGAACTTTACAATACATCTGGTCTTGCAGATACAATTTATATTTATATCCTTTGAAAGTTATGTGGCAAGTTATTTGCTTATGCCTTAGTACATAGGTGCGACTTATAGAACATGTTTGGGAATCAGGGCCCCCGCCAGACCTGAAGCCGCCCGCGTGCGATTTCATATTTTGGCGCCCCCTAGTTAGGGCCAGTTTCTCAATAGCAAGTCACCCCCGGGTTAAGCATAGCATAACTCCAGGGTAAACATTGCAACTGGACACGTTTACCCTGGAGTTAACACCAACCCGGAGGTGACTCGCTATTGAGACACTGGTTCAAGCTAGAGGGCGCCAAAATATGAAATCGCACCTTAGGGTTGGCGATTAAAAAGAGAGCAACAATTTTTGGAGTGGCATTGAGTCAACAGACGTATCTCGTATTACCTGAAGTGCGCAGGCAGTTGGGAGTAAATAGGTAGAAACTTGACAGTACGTATACAGTAAAAATGTTACTATCGCCCCCAGCTGCGCGTGCATCTATGTTCTCTCCCAGTTCATCTCATTACTTTTAACACAGTTTATTGTTTATTTTATATTCGAAATGTTTTTTGCTTTATAAACACCAAAAAAATAACAGAAAATTGACTTTTCTACTATTAATGTTGCAAAATCTTTCAAGAAATCTTCAACATTTATACTGTCCAAGAGATCACATTCTATGGAAAAAATCTCTAATCCATATACCTTTCTTGTAACAATGTAGATCTTAAATAGTTTTTCAATAAAAACTCTGAGCTAGATAAATAATAATAGTTCAGAGTAATTTTGCAAGAACCAACAGAAAAATTGGCCCATTGGCTGTACGGCCTTTGAATAAAAAGGAAAATAATTGAAACACTAGGAAGAAAAATTTAATAATTAATTATAAAAAAAAATTATTCATATTTTTCTCGTGCGATTTGCCGCCCCTTGGCTATGCCGCCCGCGTGCGCCGCACGCATTTGCGCTTATGGTAGCGAGGGCCCTGTTGGGAATATCATTGAGGGAATGAAATCTTAACAGGGCTACACATCTAACGCCATATAAGTCATATGTCTGTACTAACATGTGACTTCAAATAACCATTCTCTATCTCTAGGATATAAAAATGATGAAAATACTGACAGCTAATTATTGCACTTGTGGCTCCCATTAAAAATAAAAATAGAATTTAAACATTACTGATGATTATTGAGTCCTTCAGGTAATACAACATAAACCTGTCCTAATTCATCATAAGTATAAGTTCGCTTCAGAAATGTGTCCACTAATTTTACACCTGACAGGGTTCTAAGACCAGGCACCAAGGGAATACACTTAAATTCTAAAGCTTTGTGACTGTGTGGAGGTAAAGGGTCTAGTTTCTTGCCTGAAATACCACACCATGCGATATTTTCTGTGTTTTCCAAATATAGCATAAAATCAACGGTCCTTTCACTAAAAACAAAAATTTAATTTTTATTAATTTATATTTGGGAAATTATTTGTACCCATTGTTGACAAGTTTGCACTTGAATGTAAATAGTTCCTCTAGGACAACAAAATTTGGCAACTCCGTTATTGATAATTTAATATCCCCATAATCTGGACTCTAAAAAAAAATTCTTAGACTAAAACACAGACAACTTTATTCTTACCATTCTTTGTAGTTGACTCGTTTGCAATCTCCCCTTTTCCCCTAAATTTGATCTCCATACAATATCTAATTTTCCAATATTAGTAGCCCCACTTAATGACTTCACATCGGAAATTAACTTCTCGTTTGGGGTCAAACAATACAAATATTGACTTATAGATTGAGGCTGCAAGAGAGTGACTTTACCAAAAATACTTTCTCCTGTGTGAGTCATATTCAAGCATGTAACTAAAATATTCAATATTCACTTGAACAAAAAATTACAATAGATTAATTTAGACGTACCTACCTTTGAACAAATGTGAGGCATCTAAAGCAACTTTTTCCAAGCATATTGGCCCGCTGGTAATGTTTTGAACTTGCGCTTCAAGATATACATCATCATTCTCAGCATTATAAAATTTAGTTTTCACATCCAAGGGCTTCAAAACTTGTATTTTGAAAAATTTCCTAAACGATAACAGAATTCCTGCTGAATTTTGATAGGACACCTCACAAACTAAACTAAAATGTGTTTCACTTAATACATTTCAGTATAAAAACCTCAATAAAAACAAATAGATAATAACTTACATGTGAGTACCGATTTCCTTAACTTCATGCTGTATAACGGTATTAACAGTCTGATCTGAAGTCAATGTTGATGTAGGGGGATTATTGGCTAAGGGAAGTCTTTGTGAACTAGTCTGTAAGTCTACCTTTACACTAACATTATAAACATTTTGTTTAGTTTCACTATAAACACAAATATAGCTGGAAAAAGTTTCTCCTAAATAAATATTTACAGGATTTTGAGGAAGAAGTAAAAACTGGCCAATGGCTATGGTTTCTGATCCCGGAACCGCCGTAGGGTCTTGCTGTAAAGAATTATTCAGCAGATTTCCAGGTAAGTCTTTACTGTCGCAAGTTACTGGTAAGGGGCTTGCTAAAGTAGGACGAGTAAGCCTCATAACTAGAATGGAAAAAATGAGGATCAGCGTTTTATTATTTGAGTGTAATCAATGACATTTCAGTATAAGGTTTAAGGTTACCTTTGAGAGCAAGTAAATGCTCTTCAGTTTCCATTTCAAGAATTAATTAGGTGAAAATCAAATGTTCATATCAGAGCAAAAATATTTTTTTGAAAGTACAATCGCGGAATCGTCACACACAAAACACAGCACAGCCCGCAATCCGGACAAATTGACAATCAGCTGGTGTATTTGAATCGAAATTTATAGGGGCTTTCGAAAACAACAATCCGAACAACTCTAGTCTTTTTGATGATAAACTAGAATACTAATAAGTGCTAATAATACCATGAAAATTGAAAAAGTGACACCAGAAAAACCTTCACTAATGAAGTTATTAAAAACAAACGTTCATAAATCATAAAACATTTTCGATTGGTGGATTTAGTGCGCTCTGCTGAGTGTATTGGTATCGTTCGCTATCGGCTGGGATCACGACAAACGGGAAAAAAGTAACAGGTACCAGTCAAATTTTTTTTCTCAAAGGGAAAGAAGTGGTCACAGAAAAAAAAAATGTTTAGATGGAAAATGGTGACATATTCTTCCGTCACAGGAAAAAATAGTGTATTATAAGCTTTGTTTTGGTTTCACTCAGAACTAGTTTGGAATTATTCTGCACTGCACATGCGCATATTATAAAAAGCGTTTTCGTTTTTTTTTGGTTTTTTTGGTTCCGAATCGGTACAGAACTAGTATTAGAACAGTCCTCTATTATTTTTTGTGCACAAGCAGTTCTGCGCAATCCCAGAACCGTTCCAAATTTCGAGCCAAAACAAAGCTAAATGCCTAGTACCACAGCCTCCTACATTTAACTACAGTGACTTTATTACCACAGTGGCGACAATTGCTGTCTTATTTTTGATTGGCTCTAAAATCAAAATCCCATATATTTATATTTAAAACGCCGCCATCTTGTTACTTTTAATATGAATATATGGGATTTAGGGCCAAATTATGAACCGACTGGTAACATTATCAGCAAATCTATCCTGCTGCTAAACCTAAAAATTGCATTCAACTTTTAGGTTTACCAGTAGGGTAAACTTGCCAGAGACCTTACTAGTCGGTCCATAATTTGGCTCTTAGGTGAACATCTATCATAAATCATAGAAAACATGGACCTAATAATGGTCATCAAATGCGTCGATTTCAATTTTTTATGATAGATCTCCATTTAAATCTATATATTAATATTTAAAAGTAACAAGAGGTTGGGAACAAGATGGCGGCGGAACCTCTATTGTCGCCACTATATGTAAAGGTTTATTTAGCCACTGTCACAGCCTCCTATAGTTAACAAACCATGAAATTGGAAATGACGGCAACGTCGCGTATGGTGCTATTTTGTTATTGGATTATGTGTTTCTGTGTATTGCTTTCATTGTGTATTGTTGCAATTTAGTATTTTTATGGGCATTATCACAGCCCTCTACACTTACAAGCCATGAAGTTGGAAATAACGGCAACGTCGCCAATGGTGCTTTTTTAGGTGATAATTGCTCGAAAACTCCCTCTCATGTCATTGATAATGATAATAAGACAAACTATCGAATTATAATTAATAATTTTGTGTCAAATAAATAAAGAGGCGGTAAACAAAAATGCTAGTGAACCTCCGTTTGTCGCGTCGCGCCAAATTTTAAAAGTTTCGTTCGTACACTTTCGATCATATTCGTGGCGTTGCCCCCGTGTGATCCGCAGACGCTTGTGTAATAATCGGGTCGCACCGCTGCCACACCACTTGCGTCTATATCTCAACGTGACTCCTTCAGTATGCGCGTGCGCCTACTTACCATAGAAGATTTTTAGGTTAGGTTTTTTTGTTTTGTTTTGATTTTGATCTTGTACGTTGTTACCTAAATTCCCTAATTTTGTTTCTACTGACTCTGGAATTTCTATCCACCCCGTTTAGGATAATTTTTTACTTAGCAAAAAATTAGCGCAAGAAACTCAATCTAGCCGTTAACTATTTATATCTGTAATAAATAAAACACAAAGGTACCTATGTATTTGGGTGAAAAATTTATTTTGACACAGAAAAAATCAAAATGCACATAAAATCTAAAAGAAAGTATCTATAGTCCCCGCCACAGATAATCGAGGTTCCTTCAAAAAATGATTTCTCTGTCGGCGATGCCCGGATAAGCAAAAACTGTTGCAAAAACTCTACACATAAAGAATTGAGAATAAATTTAGTCCAAGAGCATCAATTTTTTGATTTTGTTTATCCGGGCATCGCCGACAAAGAAATCATTTTTTCTAGGAAATATTGTTTTTTTCCTTCCAGCCACCAACGAATCATGCATATTTTTGGTATGTCTGCTTAAATTGCCCTGATTTGAAAATGTTTTGGAACACCAAGTACAGACATATACATATCTACAAAATTTGGATACATCTTCACTTCTGGACTTACTTCTCATTAGACTTACTCAATCACTTTTATTTATCTATAAGCCCTTTTTAATGTTTTCACTGTTTCCCTCCATCACGATACGAATCAACAGATATGTAACTACAAAAATTACCCTAAACGGAGTGAATAGAAACTTTAGGGTCAGTAGAAACAATGTTACGTTACGAAACAAGTACAAGTTCAAAATCAAAACAAAACAGGAAAACCTAACCTTAAAATCTTCTGTGGAAAGTACGCGCACGCGCATACTGAAGGAGTCACGTTGAGAAATAGACGCAAGTCTGCCACACCATGTGCTGCTGGTGTTGTCAATGTCAAATCTATCATAAACGGCATACATAACAACATAACCATAATCTAAATCTACCTGCTCGCAGGTCACTGTCAACAGTGTCAACCAAGGACTGTGAACGGAATTTTGTTGCTGAGTGACGTCACACTAATCGGTCGTTTCAAATGGCGATGTTTCGAGCGTCACTTCAAATATTTATAAAAAATTAACGGCTGATTTTTAATGCTTGATATTTGGCATGACTATGTCTTTAGTGTAGTACAACACATTTTTGAAATAAAAAAAAAATGTGCAAGTTCCCTAATGAAAAGTGTTGCAGATCTATTATGGCACATCTAGGCCATATAATCAGGCCTATGATCTATCATTTTCTGTTATTTTAACAGCAACGTTAAGTTATCTGTCACTGTTTATTCTATACGTCAAAATGGAGACGGAAATAGATGTTGAGCCTTAACACAGCCGTTAAAGTAACAGGACAGGATATATCATAGGCCTGATTACCGCCAATTATAAGCTTAAACTTTGTTAAAATTAAAATATACTTTATTTTTCCCACCAATTAAGTATATGTGTAATTATCTCTTTTCTACATTTTGGTTATTGAAATTCCCAAGCCTATTTTATAATTTAACAGATTTTGTAAAATGACTGCAGCAATAATCTAAATGAAAAAATCAAAGACAATTTTTTGAAAAAAATCAGTTGTTTATTATAGCTACTTAAGAGAAATGTAATAAACTACACTGGGTTACAAAGTCAAATGAAAAATAAATATTCAACAAAAAAAAATAAAACTAAAACTGAGAGGAAACGAAACGTTTGTTTGCTAATTATTTAGTATTATTTCAATAGGCTCCTTGCATCAAATTTTATTGCGGATTTCGATAGTCCATGAAAAATAAGTCAACACGTGTTTTTTCTTTTTCTTGTGAGTCAAAAATTGAAGGAGATTCAACGCTTTGAAATGTCCTTCCGACGTCATAACTTAGGTATAAAACGATGTGAGTTGTGACGTCGCACATGCTCAGTATATCTATATATATAAAACTCAATATTTGTTATAACTTCCGAAATAATCAAATTTCGACAAAATAGAAAAACACGCATCGATTTTTTTTCGATTTCCTACAGTTTGCAATAAACATATTCAATTTAATTTTTCATGCAAGTACCCTAACCAAGATAGTAGGCCCAATTCAAAAAATGCGCTGAAAGTTCAAGATTTTCTCTATTTACTAGAAGGTCTAATGGCCGTTTCCACCAACGCAAATTTAAGTTTACTTAACGTTAAGTGCCGCTTATATTATAATTTCTTTTCCACCAGTCTAACCTAGTGTCATTGAGATAAACTTAACTAAGCCCAGGAATTTGTAGGCTTATTCTTCCCTTAACAGAGTGGCGATGATATATGCGCAAGCAATTTGCATCATGCCTTTGTTGACATAAGCAAACGTTAAAGTTGATGCTTCACAGAAAGTAGCAAAAATTGAATTGAGATAAAATTTTCTCAATTTTCTAATTTCTGGTAAAGTTTGCGTTCTGTTGTGTTTAAGAAAATTGTTGTTTGAAAAATGGATATACCTAAGATGATTTAGAAGTATTGGATTTGTTTGAAGATGTGGTACCCATCCCCAGAAAAATGTATGATAGAAATAATCATTTTGAGGAGATGGACAATCTAACGTTTTTTGAAGATTCAGATTCAGATTGACAAAACCCACTGTGTTGCAACTTCTAGAACAAATTGAATCATCCTTAGAATTTCCTATAGGTGAATTTGGAGTGATTGTGTTAAACTCATTGGCTAATTTTCGCCAAATTTTTGTTTTTTTCTGAAACCGATACTGCATCCGTTTTCTTGTTGTTTATTATATGTTTGTACATTGCCGAAAGGTTTACCAGAAGATCTTTTTTTTGGGCAGTACCTATAATTTCCCGAGTAATTTCCAGCTCTTATTTTTCCATTTTCATTCATTGTTGAACGGACGTGTTGTCGCTAGGTATTGTAAATCACAAATTAAAAGTGACTTATTTTTATTTATTCAAACCACGAATCTATCGTCAATAATTTTAAAACATTATTTATTTTCTGGACTTCAAAATTCCATCAAACCACTACACAAAGCCGAGTTTGAGGTTATGATGGCGAACAAAAGCAAGGTTGCCAAAGCTAAACAACACTTAGTTAAGATTCATCAGAAAGGCGGTGGTGGAATGCAAATTTAATTGAACGATCAAACGAACTTACCTGTGATGTTCGATCGTAATTATATATAGCACCTCGTCCGAAGAGATCACTGCGTTATCTTACTATGTAGTACTGCTTTTTGTACTAGAGGGAGTCACAAATTTCAAAGAACTCAAAATGTCAATCATTGCCCTTACCGGCTACAGGACCCTGTTTAACCGGTAGAGTCATCTAAGTTTAAAGTTTCCC